ATTCCTGCGTCCCTTTCATCTGACAAAAGAGACTTTGTTGGATCTATTCTGGTGGCCCTTCTGTCTGGAGGATTCAAACCAGCAACCGTGAACTTTGGCTCCGTCCACCGTCGTCCCAAAGACGTCCGTCGGATGTGAAAATAAACTATAATTAGCGTGTTTTTCTTTTCTTTCTCCTGGCACGTTTCCCCCGACGCTTCCCTTTGTTCTTTCATTATGTAATCAGCTGTTCTTTATGGAAAATATGAGTGGACGTTTGCTTCTGTCTTCAGGGTTAAACGAGACATCAATCAGCTCTTAATGCAACCAGGGGAAAGGGTTGGAGAGAAGAGAGAGAATCACAAATTCAACCTCGTAACTGTCCCTGAACGCCTCTTCCAGACTCAATATGTATACTGAATACAAACTGAAATACTTCATCCCAGTATTTTGGATGATGTTGATGAGTTGTTACAGGAAGTAGTTGTTGTTGTTGTTGTTGTTGATGGGACTTCCTGCAGAGATTTGATTTCCTTCTTGCAGCCCAGTAGCATTATATTTGATGTGACGTAGTACAAACGTACGTTGTAATATTTATATTTAATATATATAGCGGGCGAACTTCAGTTCCACTGAAGAGACGCTGCTGTCAGTGAGAACATTACAGTCGAGCTAAAGAGCAACATACGTAAATAAACTAAGGATAGTTGTTGTTTAATGACATTGGTTACATTGTTACGTTGTTATTGTTGTTACTTTGCTATGTTACGTTGCTATGTTACGATGTTGCATTGTCACGCTATGTTGCTCCGTAACGTTGGTATGTTACATTGTATCGTTACAGTGCTATGGTACGTTGGTATGTTATGTTGAGTTGTTACATTTTTCCGCTACGTTATCTTACGTTATTCCGTTACGTTATTCCGTTACGTTAAGATAAGTACTTTGCGTTGTATCAGCATAAAAAGACAAGGACACACATTAGAGGAATTAAAAGACTAGAAATAAACAATTCAAAATGAAACCTACGACGTGGTTTTGTTTCAATACGTTGTGACTTTACTCTGTTCTGTTTCGTTTGTATGTTACTTTGTTGAGTTACGTTGTTCTGTCACTAACCTCCGATGCCTTCCTCTGTTTCTTTGTTTCTAACCTGACAGCTCACCTGACAGGTGACCTGACAGGTCACCTGACAGCTCACCTGACAGGTCACCTGACAGGTCACCTAACAGGTCACCTGACAGCTCACCTGACAGGTGACCTGTCAGGTGAGCTGTCAGGTGAGCTGTCAGGTGACCTGTTAGCCAAGTGCAACAAGTCCGATATAAAACACACGTGACATTTGAATCTACTGTTCACAGAAGCAGACTCTCCTCAGCTCGTCTGCTTCTTTTCTGTGAGTTTAATCCCACGTTTGAAACATATAACTTCTGTTTTAGTTGCTTTTAATTCACCTCACATCCACGTGAAGTCTCTCGTGAGTTCGTAGCCTCGGCGTTCAAACTATTTAAACTTATAAAACAAGATATAAGATAGGACTTTATGTATTTATCCTGAAGGAAATTGTTGTTCCAGAGTTACAAAGATCAATAAAGACTTTGAACACTAACCGTGCAGTACAACTTGCTAATTAGAGATCTCCAAGAGACAGAGACGGTCTCATCATTAATATAAAACTGTATATTCAAAAGTCTCAGGAGTTGTTCGTGGACGAGTCTTTGTGAAGAGCGCTCAGACGGTGGACTCGTCATGGTTTCTTTGGCGTTTCCTGGTGTTCGGAGATGGCAGAGTTTCTCTGCTTATCTGCTCTCTCATTATAAATAAAGTGGCCTGGGAACCCAGACGCTCACTGCTGGCACTTCAGCTTCAATTTAGCTCAAACTTGATTGTCCCGAGAGAGAAGTGTGGTTTGTAGACGAGGACGGAAAACATGCCGTGAAATGACTTTGTAAAAAGAATGAAAATAGAGGTGACAGATGTTTCCTTGTCTTTGAGCTTCAGATGTTTCAGAGAGAAGTGACACGTTCAGCAAATTAACAACTGAAGACATGTTTTGTGTGTTTTATCCTCATGTCGTCTTCAGACTAGTGGAAAGAGAATACTCACACTGTGTTCAGACTCACAGACGCTTTCATACAGACTTCACTCACAGACGCTTTCATACAGACTTTGAGGACTAAAAACATGCAGAAAATGCATTTTGAACGGCTTTTCAAACTGTAGTCGCTCTACCCTCTCACTTTTAAGACCTTTAGCCTGTGTGCGTCACTCTTTAGTGTCCCCTGGTCTCCCAGCTGTGTGCGTCACTCTTAAGTGTCCCCTGGTCTCCCAGCTGTGTGCGTCACTCTAAAGTGTCCCCTGGTCTCCCAGCTGTGTGCGTCACTCTAAAGTGTCCCCTGGTCTCCCAGCTGTGTGCGTCACTCTAAAGTGTCCCCTGGTCTCCCAGCTGTGTGCGTCACTCTAAAGTGTCCCCTGGTCTCCCAGCTGTGTGCGTCACTCTTTAGTGTCCCCTGGTCTCCCA